GTTTTATTATTTGTTGATTTTTCATATAATAATTTTTGAATTATAGGGGCTGATTGTTATAGTAACGGTGTTGTTCGAGAGGGTTTAGTAGGGGTGTCATTGTTATATTCTTTTGGGGGTCTTTTATTAGTCGTAGGAGCATGAGGTCTTTTGTTAGTTTTATTTGTTATTTTAAGTTTAGTTCGAGGGCGTTCTTTAGGTGCGATCCGTGCAGCTTAATTTATATAGGAAATAGTTATTATAATTATTGCTGTAAGAAGTAATAAATATAGGTAGACTTTAATTACACCCTGTTGAAAGTTATCTGTTATAGAAATTAAAGGTATGTTTAATGTTTCAACTAATTTTGGGCCTATTTTTTCCAGCCAAGTTTGATCAATCGTTTGTATAGCAATGTTTTGGGCAAAGGTTAGACTTATTTTACTGATCAAAAAGTGTATTGTTTGGGGATAATATCCGAGCAGAACGGAGAATATAAAAAGAGTGGTTGAAGGAATATGTTTATGTTGCTCTGAAGCTATAAATGTTAGTTCCACAGCTAAAAATAGGCCCAGCATTGTTAAGAGGAGAGCAGATATTTTTATTGTTATAGGCATAGATAAGGTGTAAGGTTTGTAGGGAACAATACTTAGTGAAATTAATAGTCCAGCAAGGATGCTTCCTCAAGCTAGACGTTTTAGAGGCTTAATTAGTAGTGGGTTGTTTTCTTCAGCCATCAAAGTAGGAAGAGACTTAGGGTAACCTATTAGAGCATAATAAATGATACGAATACTATAGATAGCTGTGAATATAGTAGCAGTAAGTGTTAGGGCCAGGGCTCAGGCGTTTAGATATGATGAGTTTATTGCCTCTAAAATAGTGTCTTTAGAAAAAAAGCCTGTTAAAAAGGGGGTTCCTATAAGGGCTAAACTACCAATGGTGAGACAGGTTGTTGTCATTTGAGAGACTTGGGGTATGTTTCCTATTTTTCGAATGTCTTGCTCGCTGTTTAGGGTGTGAATAAGGGAGCCGGAGCATAGGAAGAGTATTGCTTTGAAAAATGCGTGAGTGCAGATATGTATGAAAGCCAGCTGAGGTTGGTTTAAGCCAATTGTGACTATTATTAAACCAAGCTGGCTAGATGTTGAAAAAGCTACAATCTTTTTAATATCGTTTTGAGTGAGAGCACAGGCGGCGGTAAATAATGTGGTTACAGCGCCTAAGCAGAGACAGGCGGTTGGGGCGTAGGGGCTGTTTTCTAATAAAGGGCTGAATCGAATTAGTAGAAAGATACCAGCTACGACTATTGTGCTAGAGTGAAGAAGGGCTGAGATTGGAGTAGGGCCTTCTATAGCGGAGGGTAGTCAGGGGTGCAAACCAAATTGTGCGGATTTTCCTATTGCTGCTAGGATTAGTCCAAATAGGGGTATTGTTAAGTCAAAGTTTTTTGAAATGGCAAATAGGTGGTGTAGTTCCCAAGAGTTTATGTTTATAGCTATTCAAGCTAGTGTTAGGATTAGTCCGATATCCCCAACTCGGTTATAAATAACTGCTTGTAGTGCAGCTGTATTTGCGTTAGTTCGTCCTGATCATCAGCCAATTAGAAGAAAAGATATTATACATACTGCTTCTCACCCAATAAAGATTTGAAATAGTGTACTAGCTGTAACAAGAATATATATCGCAATTAAAAATAGAAGTAAGTATTTAAAAAACCGGTTATATTGAGGGACAGAGCTTATATATCATTTTGCAAACTCTAAGATAGCTCAAGTTACATAAAAAGCGACGGTAGCGAATAGAAGTGAGTAAACATCAAATTTAAAACTGAGACATGTATCAAAGTTAGGTATATTTAAGCAGTTGACCATTGTAGTAACACTTTCACGGCCTTTGTTGATAAATAGAAGGGTGGGATAAAGA